TTTTTCCTTTCTTTAATTTAAAGTAGGAGCTGCATGAAAACATACTTTCCTGCTTCAACTTTTCCTTCCGTTTTCCTCGTTAATTAAATAGAATTTAATTTCTCAGATCACAGTATTTCTAGGAACAGTTGGAATCTGTGTCTAGTCCTAGTCCTTCTCTTGCACAGTGCATGTTACCAGATGTTTCAGTAGAAGTTACAGGAAAACCAGTAGTGGACAATTACAGAAAAATGTACCTATGGGAGACATTTATTGTGGGCTACCTGATACTGAATTTTCTTTTTACACTCAACTATTCTCACCTACAGTTTTTTTATCCTGCTCAAGAAAACTGTAGATGTTATTTTTCTTATAATGACTTGAGTGGTAATTTATGGCAACAGCCTCCCCAGACTCTTAACTGTGGAATACCACATCCCAATTTTTTTTAGGCTGTGTTTTTGCTTTAAAAAATTTGTTTCTAGAGTCAGAAATAAAAACAGTGTTTTCCTGTCTCACTCTCTCAGGGACATGGAACAGGCATTACCATCCAGGACTGAGTTACATGTGAGACTAATCCTTGTACCCTGTTTGATGAAGGTGCTACAGTGTATTTATGTGCCTATTGCTGTGTCCTACCAGTCAAGAGAATTCGGTGTGTCAAAGCTCTTGCGCCCCACAGATAATAGTGGGAATTGAATATTCTCATTTTAAGATGAAAGTTCTGATACACGTCACGTAGGAAAGTGAGAATAACTGAAATATGAAGGTACAAAATGCAGTTTTTCCTGATATATTACATTTCTGTCCTCTCAAGACCAGTCTGTTTTTTTACTGGAAGGCCAATTGAGCTTCAGTTGCCTCAGAGACAACAGATGATTTTCTGGGGGCAGCGAGGTCAAGTGCTGCCTGTCCTGGTTTCTGTCCAGTACAGTATTTCCCTGCACTCTGCCTCCAGTTGACCCTACACTTACTTTCAAATGTCAGTCTTTTCCATCCTCCCTCCTTGACCAAAACTTTGATCGTTTTGAAGAGACTGATTAGAGTTCAAGTGCACATTAGCAAGAGTGGTTGTAAATCTACAAAATACCAGTCTTGCTTAAAAAATTGATATATGGAGCAAGCTCTTAAAAAAATCCCCAAAACTTTTATGCGTAAGCACAGCGCAGGATGTGCCATGTCTTTAATAATCCTGTGCATTCCATGCTCTCTTCGAAGAAGGAAGGTAGCACAACATGCCAGAGCCTTGAAGGGACAGAAGGACACATAACAAAAGGGTGGCTGTTGCTTGGGTCTGAAAGAGGTGATTATACAGTGGGGGGAAAAAGTTGGACAGTTAAAGTTGCTGTGTAAAAGTCCTCGTTATTATGTCATGTCATAAAGCCAAAAATGTTCCATTGCAACAGCACATACAGTGCCCTTGTCTGGGGAAACATTTTGGGGACAAAAACTTGCCTCTGGCAATTGCCCTTTTTATGGTCATTGTATGGTTTTGCCTTAATTGGCATAAAATACATGTACTGGAGGTCAAAATTATCCACTCAGCTCTAGTGGTCTGTCTCGGTTTCCGAAGGAATCAGGAATCACTCAGCATTTTCATTAGTTTGACACCAATATGAGTTTAAAACTTTGTTTTTCTGAAGAGGGATTGTCCTGGGTTCCCTGAGAGGTTGTTTGTTTTTTTTTCCTGCATGAAAGAGATTTCTGTCTGGAATTAACCTGGAGTTTTAAGTTTGCAAGCCTATGGGTGTTCATTCTTGTTTAATTATATGAGTCTTGCCTGTTCCATTTGTCAAATCAGCAGCATACTTCCTTGTTTTTTTTTCCTTTTCCTCAGAAATTCATGCATGCAAATATATCCTTGCACGAAAGGTGAATATGACAATAACAGCATGGTTTTAGTTGAGTTGATGCCTTAACTTTTAATGCTAACTTTTCTTGGCTGAGCTTCTTCTTAACCTTTCATGTTTTTTATTTTAACTTCAGCACTGGGATTTTTATAAGAAGTGATGGCTTTAGCATGGCAGAGTCCCTCTTCCCTCTATCCATTTATTCAAATGGAGAATGAATGAACTGGACAGCTTGGAGTACAGTGGAGGAAGGGAAGCAGCACACCAGATAACAAACAAAAGAGATTCACCTTCATTTGCTAGATGTCTTCCATTTTCTTGGCCAGGCAGAGAGACGCTGGAACAGTGAGGTTTCCTTCATAATAATTATTAACCTTTTTTGCAATCTTCAGAGCCTCTTTATTCTCACTCCTCACTCCTTGTAACTGAGCGAGCTCAAATGTCCTTCTGGAGGTCAGGAAGGAAATATTTCATTTGAAGTCCGACTAGCAGAGGCCTGTGATGTTTTGTCGTAATTTTTCTCCATCCCAGATAGAAAAATAAGTTTAAAAAAAAAAAAACAACCCAGCAAACAAGAATAATAATCTTTAAGGTGCTCTCTGAAGGAGTTGTCCTTCCAAAGACCAGCTCATTTACTAAGCACTGCAGGTATGTGTGGCTGTGCCTCCAGTGATGTCACCTGAGGTGCATTTTATGTGCTCCAAGTTCTAACGCTTCGTTTGGCTTTGCCTTCCCTGCCCCAGGTCTGTGACCTGTCCTTCAGCCTGAAGAAGATGCTGATCCGCCACAAGCTGACCCACAACCCCAACCGGCCCATGGCAGAGTGCCAGCTGTGCCACAAGAAGTTCACAAGGAATGACTACCTCAAAGTGCACATGGAAAACGTCCATGGGGAGACCGACAGCTGATTACGGCCTCGGGAAGAGGAATGGATCCAAAGCGCTGCATTTGGACATGTGCAGACTCCAGGCTTTTCACCTGGCTTGGAGGAATAGTCAGGAGAAACAACTGGAATGTGATTTTCCCCCCCCCCCACTTTTTAAAAAATACGCTAGTAGAAAAAAAAACAACCAAAGAAAGACGTTCACCTGATTTATGACATAACTTGAAAAGAAAAAGTTGAAGATAAAAGAACTCGGGGAAAATTTTTTATCTTCATTTGCAAAAAGAAAAAAGGCAAAAAAAAAGCTTTAAGCAAACTTGTCTTTGTTAATTACATCCCTAGAAACGTAGATATTAATAGCATTACCTGGAAATCCTGGACACTTGCAACTGAACCCTTGGCTGTCTGCAATTGTATTTCTGTATCTAAGCTACAAGGCTCCATTAAAATTATTTAATGTGAAACCACACAGAATGTGTCATTCCAATTGATTGCTGATTACATCCAGGCTCGTTTTATCCATGTCATAATTCTGCATTTTGTTGTAACGTGATTTTGTCTCATTTTATTTACAGCTTTCTCATTGCTATATGAAAGTCATTAAACTTGAATTGACTCTCAAGGTGCCAAAATGTACAAGTACAGAAGCTGTGGAATTCTGTCAACATAAAGTGTGAGATAGAGGAGGATTTATTTCTTCTGGTTACATGAAACAAGAACTAAAGTGAAAGCTTTGAGCAATTCAGTTGGAGTGCTGTATTCATACTCCTCATTGTGGCTGGCAAGGCAAGTGGAAAGACATCTTACCAGAGTGGCTTGAGCTGCTACAGTTGCTGAGTTAACTTGTGCTTGATTTCCTGGTGAACAGCTGGTTCTTCCTGCTGAATCAGATGCCCTGGATTTCTTCATCCCACGTAGCCACCTTTTTCTTCCCCCCTTATTTATCTTCATGAGCATTGGGAAAAATACTGCTTTACTACTAAGTAAAAATCAAATTCTTGTTATCAGTGAGTTGTTTACTGCAGAAAACTCTTCAAAAGAGTTCCCACAGGCCCTCTCATACCAGCCTGATAATCAAGAAATCTTTATCTACAAGGACAGTAAAACTGTAACTTCAGAGGGTTACAGTGAAATTCCTGAGTTATCAGCAGTTAATATTAAGGCTCTGGCATTAGCAAACTGTTCATGCTCATTTTGGACCTGTCAGTGTTTTGTAAAATGTACTTGCAGTGGGACATTTTGCTTCTAGATTTCGTGGGAAAAGAATTCAGCTTCTTTCTGAACTGCAGCAGGGGCGTTTGTGTGAAATGAAGAGCATAGTTCTTTATCTCAGGGTAGATTCTACTCAAATCTTTTTATCACATGGGACATTTGCTACTCAAAAGAGCAAAAAAAGTGTTATACAGTAACAGTTGAATATTTTATTGCATTTAATTTGCCTGTTGAAATGCATATGCTTAATTGTTTTAAAATTGTATAGGATTACTGCAGATTTTGGGGGGAAAGTGGGATTGTAAGTAATTCTCTTGTTTTGAGAACCACCTGTGTGTAGAAGCATGCTAAGTCTTTATGGGACTTTTTGCTTCCTGAGAGGTACATGAAACCTGGAGACTTTGCCAGTTCCATACAAATAATTTGTTCCTGTAAATCCAGTGTATTGTTTGTGTGAAAGACAAATATAAGCATTATGAAGTGGAGTAGAGAATACTTCCTCTCCTTGTTTGTGGAGATTTTGTTAGAAATACACTGTTCTGATAAATTCTAAGTCCAGAAGACTTTAATTTATTGCTACAGTTATTATAAAAATTAATTTAAGTGTTGAGGTAGCAAAAGCAACCAGTACCAGATATTGAGATGTGAGGTGGTGTTTTAGCTTTATTTTTGTAATTATCTGCCAGGAGAATTAGGTTGGTGACTTTTTTGTCACATCTGGGTGACTTTTTTTTTGTTGTTGTTTGTCTTTATGACATCAGTGAAATCAAGATTTCAGTCCTGGAAAAACCAAGATTACAGTTCTTTATATTTTTCTGTCTGTGTATTTTTCCTTCTTCCATTTGGTTGATACAAACTAAGGCATGGAGGACAGCAGAAGGGGAAAAAAACCACTAAAAAAAGAAAAGGATTCAGAAGTGAAGGTTTCCTAAGCAGTTTTTGAGGGACAATGCTGTTAAAAAACAAAGAAGACTTTTTTTTTTTTTGGAAAGAAAAAGGATCATGTAATATATCTAAATATTTTGCGTGGGGGTTTTGCCAGAGATTTTTGCTTCAAAGTTATTACATGTTTAGGGTTAATAACTGCTTTTGAGAAAAATAACTAATTGCTGAAAGTCAACAGCTAAAGAGGAGAATGTACCTTTGTTTTAATCATTTCTGGATAAGTGACTGTATATATATATTAAGATTAATCATGCTGTGTGTAATCAACAGCAGCAGCTAAATAATTGAAGCTTTGATCTTGTTAGTGGCTTCAGCAGAAGAAAGGACAGACAGGATCCGTGTGGGAGTGCCAGAGCTCCCTGGGACACCAGGAGGAGGTGCAGGAGGCTGCAGCCCCACTCCAGGTGAGTGTCTCTTCCATCGTGTCCTCCAGGAACTTTCCCTTTGGGCTAAAGCAGCTCCTGCAGAGCCAGCACCTGGCTCAGCACCGGCAGCTGTTGCCATGGCAAGAACTACCCTGTTCTTTCCATGAGGGCCTGGAGTTTCTCGCAGGCAGAGGTAATATGTTTCAGATTACTGAATTCATGGGCTGTGTAATTGATTTTACATGCAATGCCGACTTCCCATTATGCAATATATTTCTATTTGATCATAACCTTCTTTAAAGAAAAAAAAAGGCACAAACCAAAGAAACAAAAAAAAAATACAAACCATCAAACCCTTCTTCTTTGAGTGAAAATTTCCACTGGCAGCCTCCCATTTGGTATTGCTTTTGGGAAAAATAGGGGATGTTCCCTTCACCTGATTTTGAGAAATGATAAACTGAAACCTGTTGGTTTAAAGGTAATTGTTAATTTTTTTAGTGTTGTAGGTTGGGTTGTTAATCATCACTTATTAAAATACCGACTTTTCCATAGTAAGTTGTACCTTACTTAATAACATGAAAAGCTAGAGAGAGAGGTGTTCCTGAGGTAAAGTGTAGTCACTGCCATTTTAGAAGGCTGTGATTCTTTTCCATACTTTGTATAATTTTCTGCAGATCATAACATTCCTATTGTTCTCTTTATTTTTCCATTACAGTTGGCCCCTCTTGGAGAGAACTCGATCTCTGGTGTTGGGAACAGCAGCAGTCTCACTAGCTCCTTTTGCTTTTCATTCTGATCAGATGTATGCCAAAAGGTGATACAATTTATTATTGTGATAAATATCCTTTCATTTGCTAACATTACCATTCTGATTTGTCTGTATGACTCTGAAGGACTTGATGCATCCTTTATTTTAAACTATCAAGCCCTAATTAGAAATCAGATCAAGGAGGAAATGGCGTAAGTTAACGTATTCCAGGCATTTTATGTCGTTTTAAACTGCACCCTTTACTGCTCTGCTTATGTGTAAGTACCAGTGCTGTTATTCTTCAAAGATCTCTGAATATATTTTAATATTTTAGTTTAAAAGATAGAGCATAACAGTACCTCCAAAGTATCACTTTGAGTGGAGGAGCTCAGTGTGCTGCTGTCAGTGTGTGAACAGGGTACAGGAAAATGTTTTCAGTTCAATCACATGCTCATGGCACTGAAGTGTTGGGGTTCTCTTCCCAGTAAGAGTTGAAATGTGCTTATTTAGTTTTTTAGGCAAGTGTGAGCTCAGAATATAGCAGCACTTACAGCTGTAAAGCTGTGTTCTTGAACACACTTGAATTCTGACAGCTGACTTTTGTCTCTTGTACGATCTGTGGCACATCAAGAAGATGGAGTAATTGAAGGATGTGCAGCAACAGCTGAAAAGTTCCCACTGATAAACAGTTTCCTTGACCTGGGAAATTATTCATTGAATGTTTCAATCTGGGACTGCCAGTCTTAATTTTATTTAATTTAGTTATTGTCTATTTTACGAGTGTCTTTTATCCCCTGTCCCCTTTCCTTTGTAATCTGTTGCTGAACCTGCAGTATGCTGTGAGCAAAGGCAGAGTGAACTGGCAAGCTCGGTGTTTGCAAAGTGTTTGCTGCTCCCTGTCCCCGAGCCCTCTTTGTTGTGCTCAGGTCCATGCCTGTGGCTTTGCTGACATCAGCTCCCTCTCATGTTACACCAGGAGTGGCATCAGAGGCTGTGCATGGCACACGAGCTGTCACCACCCTCCAGTGACAAGGAAGCGAGGGGGAACACCCATCCATGTCACTTGGTGGTCCAGTTGTCTCCATGGGCTCCAGCTGAGGTAGGCAAGACAATATCCATGGATCTCCATCACTGTGTGTCCTGGGCCTGAGCACCTCAGAACAAACTAGATAGTGAGGTGGAGAAACAACAACAAAGCCACTTAGTGTCTGCCTTGGTGGTAGAAATATATGCAGGAATGTTTTCATGCCCTCCTTGAAATTGGAATTATTATTCAATTTAGGAAAGAGAAAAGTAGTAAGAGTTGCCCCCTGGGTTTTTGAAAGGGTGTGGTCTCACAAGCCTTTCACCAACAGGACCGTGTGCACATGCATCAACTGTTATATAGGTCAGATACATAAAAGGCAGTCTGGAATGGAAAGGTGACACCACACTTCTGTAGAGCTCTGAAGCCCAATTCTGTGCCTGGTCCTGGAAATTAGCAGAGTTTAACTAAAGACTGGAATTTAATTCCATTATTTAGGTTTTCCTAACAGGATGTCTTGGTAAACAGGGACTCCCTTCTGTACAAATACAATCAGAAAATGTTCCAGTTTTAATTTGGTATTTCTTTTGTTAAAAACAAACTTAAGAACAACAGTGAGACAAAACCATGACCTTTTATTAATAAGTTACTTTGCTTCTATGTAAGATAAATTTCCCATAAGCACCTTGATCTCAAACAAACACATGATCAGCTGCGGAGTTTCAGCTGTTGAGCAATGCAGTTAAACAGCTGTACTTCAAATATCATTGATTGTGTGTTCATAACCTTCAGCTCTAAAATCCCTGAAGTAAAGGAAGTGTCTCTTGGCATGTTTGTACAGCATCAGGTACATCTAGCAAGTAGTAAACTGGGAGTAGCTGGTTCACAGTTTTCTTATTCCATTTGTTGCATGTGAAGCACGTGTTCTTTGCTGAACAGTAATCGAAGAGAGGCTGTTTTCGGTTCTGTTTTTTCTTTGAGAAGGACATTCAGCAAAAAGGAACCATTAATAAAAGTTGTTTGGGGATTTTGTGGTTTTGGAGTTTTTTTGGTTATCCTTCTACAAGGAAAAGACTGTAAGCCCTTAAATCCACAGGTTCACTTCCAGTTTAACAGCTGTTCAAACAAAACTAGGAGGAAGAGCTACAACAGGTGAGGTTGCTGCTGGATCAGAGACCTCCACTGCAGCATCAGCCAGGTTAACTCTTTGGTACTAATACTGGGATCATTTTCTGTGTCATGCCTGAGACTTTAAAATATTCTTTAACAACCTTTACCTGCCAAATTCAAGGTAGATCATAATTCACTTTGCGAGAGACAAGAAGCACCAAAGTTGTTTCATGAAATGATATCTTGTTCTAAATATTTTAAAACATTCAAACCCTTTTGTCTGGTGTAGTCTGACTTTTTTAACATAGGTCGATTCTACTGTGATAAAACTGAGAAGGATTGGTCTCTTTAGTGTCTTCTATATCTGTATGCAATTTTTTCAGTTTCATAGGAGGTACACTGGAGATTGAATCTGCTGAGATGAAATCATATAAGCCCTTTGGGCATGGAAGAAAAAATTTGTCATTACAGATCTCAATTTGTTTTCTTCCTTTATCACTTAGAACTATTAAAATTATTAAAAACTTTGAATAATAAAACTAAGGCTGAAAATAGCTTTTTAATCAGATTCAATCTAGAAGATGCAAGAGGAGGATGAATTATTAAATTAATATACACTAATCTTAACAAAAAGACAAGATGCACACTGTTTTGTGTTTGCTTATTGGAACTTGCTGTTTCTAACCAGGGCCACTTACTGTCTTTCCTTCTGGTATTAAGCTCAGAATTTAGTTTCTAACTAAATCTTGCCAGATGACAGCTTATGGAGAGGACATTTTCTACTGTTTTGCTTTTACAGAAAGAAAAGTTTGTTGTATTACTCAGTTATTCTGGGCAGAGGGTGCCAAGGCCTGAGCCTTCATATCCTTCCTTGTGATTAGAGCAGCCTTGAGCCATGTAAGGACACCTTCTGTGAAATCTCTTCCTACGCTTTTGTTTTCTCTACTCACTCTGTGTGTCTGAGAGCAAGTCCTGCACTTTTGAGTGACTTGGGCTGAAAGTCTTTCTCATATGAGTGCGATGGAAAGTTCCCTCTGCAGTGAGGGTGCTTGTTGGTAAAACAGGCAGGTGAGGTTATCCCTTTCTAAACTAACTCCTCAGCCATATCCAAAATACCTTGTGGGATGACAGGACTAGGCTTAGCTCTTAATATACAACAAGACAATGAGACCAGTGAGTCCTCTGTTGGAGCTATGAATGAGACCTGCAAACCAAAGCTGCTGTAAGTTCTCCTGCCCAGTCCTTTACAGTGCAGCAGGGATGGCTGGAAGCAGTGATTCTTCTCCTTGCTTTGATACTTTTCATCAGCTTAGCAGTCATAGTAGGAGAAATAAGCTTTGAATGTGGCTTAGCATTCACATGACCATTGGTGTGGAAAAAAATTATGAAATCAGTTATTTTGATTTTTTGTTGTTGTTCTCCTGGTTCTAAAAATCAGTCTGTAGAAATTAGGCCTTCTGTGCCACCACAAAACTGAACATCACTCAGTCAATCACTGGAGAAGTGGCAAAGGGGCTACCTCTTGGTTAAGAGTTAGTTGTTCTCAGTCAAAAACTGTCATAAACTACTGTCATCCTACTTTGATTTCAGTCCAGTAACTACCAGTTCACTACGGATGATGAAAAAGGTTCTATTTTCTGAGTCATATTAGCATAAGAACTTTATTATGTATAGTAGTATATCTTTATCTTTTAGGATTAGCTCATGATTGGATTCCTTTTAAAAGACTGACAAGAGAAGATGGTATTTAACCATTCAGTCACGTACCATTCAGCAATATTAAAATGCCCTCAGTAAGCAGAAATACAACCAGTTTCCAGTTAAATGTTCCAAGGCAAGATTTTTCCAGAAATAGAAAATTAATAGTCAGATGGTGGAGCCTTTATTGGTGATTGTAAATTGTTACTCCTGAGCGTTGTACTGATCATTGTGTCAAGCTATTAGTCAGGCGAATACATTTATTAAACCTAAAAAGCTTAACATGTGTGTGTTTCCCAGCAGACTTCTTCATAATTGCTGGTGACTTCCCCTGTGAATATAAAAGCCCAGTCAGTAGCCAATCCTGTAATTACAATTTTCCTGTGATTAACTGTGCTGCTTCCTAAATTAGAGTCTGGCAGATTCTGCTCAGGATATGGGCGACTGTCATGTCCACAAGGATGTTGTCCATTTTAGCCACAGTTCATCTCTCTGTCAATAAAGGATAAATACTTAAATGTTTTACTTCAAAAGGTATTTGCAGAAAGATAAAAACAACTTATGAAGGCTTTACTCTTAAAGAATCTGGGGCTACATATTTGCTGTGCCCTCAAAATGGCTGTGGCATTTGGCTTTGCTTTTTCTGAAAGCACATCCTGGCTGGATAAACTGCTTTTGCCATCTCTTTTTCCACTTGGTGTTCCTCACGCCATAATTTGAGAAGGCCCAGACATAAAGAACAATATTTTCTAGAAACTAAGCAAAATAGGTCAGAGATGAACCCTTGGGTCTGTGTTTCATTTCAGCCTTACCTTGGGTGAATCCACAGCTGCTGTAGATTTTGGCAGTACAACTTCTGAGAAAACGTAAAATGTTTTCTTGTTCTCAATCTTGTACTTCCTTAATTTTTGCTTTGGGAAGTTGATTTATACTCATGTTAGGAGAAATTACTATAGTAAATACGAGTATGTGGTTGTAGAGTTCACCATTTACAGCAAGCACAAGCAATATTTAAATTTAGAAGCTGACATACGTATGCATGCACGTGCACAGATCAGAATGTGAACACAGTAAGAAAGACATGTCTTGTATTATTAATTAAGCCTTTCATAATGACTGAACAAGACAAATCAGCTCCACCTTTATATTGGAAAGGATGAAAACCTGCTCTGGTCAAATTCTTCTTAAAGAAACAAACCAAGAGAACCAAACCACACATATTTCGTGTCTTGGGCTTCTTTTCATCCACTGTCTATGTGTGTCTTCTTTACATTCATCAGTTTACCTGAGTGCCTGCCCTCTTGTGGATTTTAAGTGTATTAAGTGCTGTAGATTTTATTACCAAGGTTTTAAGACTGTGGGTCTTTGTGATGATCTTATAACTAATTTACATTATCTAGAACAAAAAGGGGCATATGTATTATAGGACTCCTGTGCATTTCTTCTGAATGCATTATTTGACTAAAAGAATTGTTCTACCTCCACCCTGTGGTTTGGGAAGTTCTTTTGTTCTGTTTCTAAGCTGGATTTGTCAAGCTTAGCTGCCAAATCTATTCCATGTTGCTCTAATTCCCCTACTGTCACACAACTGCTCTTCAAATTTGACTGTCTCAGGAAACCCTGAATCAAAAGGTAATGACAAGGTGTATGAAATACCACTGATTTATTCAAAGCTTTGGGAACTTTTTCTAAGGTCGTAAGGTGAACAGATCAGAGCCTTCTACAGCATAACACTCTGCCAATGCCACCTGTAATTTCTATCTAAAACATTGCTGCGTGTGCAGAAGCAGTAAATTGCTTCAAAGCTGGAGGCCAGGGATCAGTCCTGTGCTGAATGCATCCAGGAGGATTAGTGTGTGTAAGCCTGCAAGGTAGAATATAGTAAATAACATAAAAATGGAAATCCAGCCCACACTTTGTTGTGTTTTTAGGCCAATACAGTTTTGAATTTTGCTACAGAACTAAGAGAAAGATGTGTGTGATGTTCCCAGTGTGCAGCTGGGAACAGAAAAACAGCTAATGTAGAATGACCTACTTCAGAGAGCCTCTTGGATTAGATCTTGTGAAACACAAACAGCCAAAGGACAAGGAAGGAGAAGTGTATGGCATGGGACCAAAGTTGGGAATTAAAAAATTAATGGGAAAAGTGGATTCTTGAGCAGAACTTTGAAGGAGGTTGCTGGTTTGCTCTCACTGTCCAAGGTGCTGATGGCACCTGAGAGATGCAGATGGGCTCTGCATCACAACGGTGGGGACCTGCCTTCTGG